CTTTTCTGAACCCTCTCCAGTTTAATAATATTCTTCCTATAACAGGGCAATCAGAAGTGTACACAGTACTCCAGAAGAGGCCTCGTCAATGTCCTGTACAACCTCAACATGATGTTCCAACTCATAGCCCACATCACCTCAGTCTTGAATTGCTGTTCAAATCTACCCCATTTAGCTCAGTAAATATGCCACACAACATGATAGCAGCTATCCTCAATGTAAAGTTGGGACCTTTTCTCCAAAAGAATGCTGGTGGAATCTGAATTCAACAAATTTTTAAAAAAGTGAAAAATCATGCAATCATGAAACCATTGTCAAATATTGTATTGAGACAACTGGTTCACCAATGTCGTTGAAGAATGTTTGGCAGGTAGATTGGTGAATGAGACGTCCAGTATGCTTTTGCTTCCAGTTGGTATTCACCGTCTGCTACAGACCAATTTTAACAGTTATGACCTATAGCTCAAACAGTAGTGATGCTGCCTAGCCACTATTTTTTGCTAGGCATTGAAGTTCACCATCCAGAGTACATTATGTACCCTTGTCACTCTAAGAGCTTCCTCAAAATCTGTTCAAGGTAGAGGAATATTGAGTCATCAGCTGAGCTTGTAGTAATCAGCGGGAGGTTTCCTTGCCATGTGTGACCTAGTCCATGAGACTTCATGGGATCCAGAGTAAATGTTGAAAAATCCTAGGACAACTCCCACCTGAATCTATACCACTATGCAACCACCTCTGCTGGCTCGAGCCTGATGATGGGACAGGACTTACCAACAGAAGATGTTGTCTGGAAAACTGTGAAAGGTATGATCTAAGTATGACTACAATCGGTTGTTACTTGACAAGTCTGTGAGTCAGCTGTCCCAATTTTGACAATAGGCACACAGGAACAGAGAAGACCATTGTGCTCATAAAGCCTGCTCCACCATTTAATCATGGTTGATCAAACACTTCAGTGCCTGTAAGTGAAATGTATAAAAAAAAATGGTTAGGCCATAACAAGTGTTGTGTGCAGTTCTGGAATTCAAATTAAGGAAAATATGTGATTGCACCGAAGAGGTTGCAATGACGATTTACCAGAATGTTACCTGGGCTGGAGAGTTTTAGTTATGAAGTGAGATTGGATCAACTGTCGTTGTTTTCTTTGGAGCAGAGCAGACTGTGGGGGGGAAGGTGGTGGTTTGAGTCATGATTGAGATGTATAAAATAATGAAGGACATTGACAGGGTAGACAGGAAGAAACTTTTCCCCTTGGTGGAGGGATCAATGACCAGGGGCATAGACTTAAGATTAGGGGTAGGAGGTTTAGAGGGAGAATGAGGGAAAGATTTTTAGGAAAAAGTTAGAGAAAACTAAAAATGACAGAATCACTCTCTTAGAGTGACAGTGAAAGCCTTATCAGAGATGTAATTATTCCTGAAATTGATTCACATATTTAGTTCATGAAAGCATAATGGCTAGCAAGCCACAATTTTATGTGGCCAGATTCAAGAGGGATCAAGAATGTCTCAATATCTGTTGATATAAGATTGAAGGCTGTCTATACCAAAAGCCCAGCTATTGGCACTGAAGATACATTTTCAACATCAACAGTACTTTACAATTGTGGATGACATATTAGCTATGATGTATAGTTGGTCATTCCAGCTTCCCTTCAGGAAGATGACCTAGGACAACTGCACTAGGGACACTTGGGAATCATCAAATGCAGAGCCAGAGCTGGGTCAGCAGTGTGGAGCCATGGGATCTCCAAGATATTGGGGATCTCATCAGTAAATGCAATACGTGTGCCATCCACAGCAACAAAAGCTCATTAATTCTCATCACATTCCCCACCAGATGTGTGGGCACAAATCTATTTGATTTTGATAGAAAGTCTTGCCTCATTGTCCCTGATTATTTCTTCCAATGGATAGAGGTTAAGAAGCTGCAATACCATGACAGAGTTTTGCATGAGATATTTAAATTGCATGATATCCCTGCTATGGGTGTTTTGGACACTAGGCCCACAGTTCATTAATAAATACTTCAGCCAAATTGCAGCCAGTCTGAATTTGAACATGTCACAAACTTGCTGAGATGCCTACAGTTCAATGGGAAAACTGAGCTTGTGGCCAGGTCTGTTCAGTCACTCGGGGAATATCGACTTCTACATGGCATTACAAAAATATAGATCCATCCCATTGCAAGGTAATCTAACACCATCAGAAATGATTGGCAGGCAGTTACGGGCTTAGCTTGGCATCCTACAAAAGGAGTTGAACTCATATTTACTTCCATGGGACTATAAAGTTACATGTAAGGTCCAGTCCTATTGTGCACAACAGGTGTTACTGGGCAACACAGTTCTCACATTTAGGCCAGCATAACAGGTCTAGATCAGGGGTCTGAAGCAAAAAGGTATGGTTATCTAAGGAGCTGCAGACCAACAGAGATTGTACTTTTTTTTTCTTTATTCTTTTTTGAGATGTAGACAATGCTGGCAAACCAATCATTATGCTAAATGTTCTGGAGTCACATATAGGCTAGAACAGGTAGGGTTTGCAGATTACCTTCCTCTGCAGGAAGTGAACCAGATGAGTTTAGTTCCAACATTGATGATAATTTTACAGTTAAGAATACTGAGACTAGCTTTCAATTCCGGATTTTATTTTTATTAATTGAACTGACATCACTGAGAGGCTCTTTTGCGGGAGATATGACAGATCTTGTACACATTGGTACCAACGAAGTAGACAGAACAAGGGATGAGGCCTTGAATCAAGATTTCAGGGAGCTAAGCAGTATTGAAGTTCGTAATCTCGGGATTACTCCCAGTGCCACAGGCTAGCAAGCACAGAAACAGGAAAACAGAACAAATAAATGTGGCTCAAGAGATGGTGCAAGAGGAAGGATTTTAGATTCCTGGATCACTGGGACTGGGGATGGTGGGACCTGTACAAGTGGGACAATCTGCAACTGGACCAGAATGAGACCACATCCTTGTGGGTAGGTTTGCTGGTATTGTTGGGAGGAGTTTAAACTAGTTCAGCAGGGACAGGGGACACAGTGAATGAGTTTAATAGTAACTCAGCATAACTTAGAAGGCAGAGTGAGTCCAAATATGTGCTGTCTCAAGGGATGACATCTACTTTAAAGCCAGGCTTATTACAGTTAGTATAGATAAGTTAAGGTCTAAAGATCTAGGGACATCTTCAGCTCTGAACAGGATAGCTACCAATCATACCGTTATCAGTTTCTTTATTAGCCTTCCCCAAATGCATTACCTCTTACTTTTCTGGTTTGAATTACATTTGCCACTGTTCTGCCCCACCTAACCTGTTGATATCCTCCTACAGTTTATGGCTACTGTCCTACTTACTGCCCTACCAATCGTACCCATTACATTTAAGTCCAAATCACTGCTCTGTCTGGTCACATGAAAACCTAGAGTAGAAACTCATGACCATGAACAGACATAATTACTGAATCCAGAGACAATCAATGATGAAACTAAATCTCTGTTCAATTTTCTCAGGGGGATGTAAACGATGTTGAGACAATATTTTGAAAAAACAGGGACATCCAGTTGTGGCTAATATTTATTCTTTAACCAACATCAAAAAAAGCAATCTGTTCATTATCACATTGCTAATACTGGGGGTTGCGTAGGGGGTGAAGCTTACTATGTGTAAATTGGCTGCTGCTTTTCCTTATTACAACAGTGACTATACTTCTGAGGTAGTTCATTGGCTGTGAAGCCCTTTGGGGAATCATAAAGGTGCTACATATTGCATGCCCATTTACTGTGATAACTGTGTGAACAAGCAAGCAAACACAGACAGTATCTAAATAGTAAGTCTTCATTGCTGAAGGATGACTCATTGCAAGCATAAAGTTGGGCCAATGCCTTGGGTTCCATTTCTTGCACTAAACAAAATGTTCTGCTTCTTGATCCTGAGACCTGCATGTGTTATTGAATAAAAGCCTCTTCCCACCTTTTACTTAGAATAGCCATTTAATATGGCAGCAGAGGAAGGAAGTTATAGTGAAGACTAAAATTATGCTTCTGATACAATATATTAAAAGGGCTGTTGTGGTATAGTGGTATTGTCGCTACCTCTGAGCTCGAAGGCCTGAATACAAGCCCCACTTGCTGCAGAGGTGTCAAAATAGACCTGAACAGGCTAATTAAATATATCTATAAACGTACAACAACATTGTTTCTATATCACATTTAACTTTCCTCCTCACCCGTACCTGTGTCTAATCTGCTCATAACAATTTGGAATTTCCCAGTCTTTACTACAAAGTCTAAATGCCCCCGCACACCAAATTTTCAAAGAACTTCTTTGTCCTCTTTCTTGACCTGTTTTCCAGCCCTTGTTAATGGTAAGATGTCTGTAAATAATTTCAAAACGAGCCTATTTTTGGATACAGTTTACAAGCTACGAAAAAACTCAAACTTAATAGTATGTTTCTTTCAGGTCCCATTTGTAGAATGCAATATTGTTGGACCTCTTAGCACCACTGTGATTCCTTATATCCACTGTGTTAAATAACCTTGAATGCTGCTAGTTAAAGCCATGGTTTGAATGAGTTTAGCTTTGGAACTGGTCATTACTGCGAACTGGCAATCTGTTTGCCATTAGTCATTTTCCTGAAAAAAAATCAATTTCTCCATCACAACCAGGTTTCCATGTTAAATAAATTACTATGTGCTGCTGTTATTGGTTCAACTTCCACAACATACAAAGAAATATTCAGCGTACTTTTGAACAAATCTTTTATTTACAAACACACTTTAAAGAAAGATATCATACCAATAAAGTTGCTAATATTTATATAACTTTGTTTATGTTTATCTCACCGTCAGTTATTGCCCTGCACCCAGGCCACGCGCACATCCCCTCCCCCAGCAACGATACAAACGGATCTCAGGCCCCGCCCCTTTCCCCAGGCACGGCCCCGATGGCGGCGGGAGCGCGCGCATTTGGGCGGGAAGGCAGGACAACGCGCAGGATTTCCTTCCAGGCGGGAAATAGCGGAGCGTCGACGTTAGGAACATGTGGCTGGAAATGTTCATCAGTTTAGCCTGGATCAGTGAGGGTGAGCGAAGGGGATATGGAAGAGGACGGAAAAAAAGAAAGAGCAAGGAAGGGGGGAAAGGATGATAAAGAGCGAAGGAGAGGGAAGAGAAATAGGTGAGGACAGGGGGAGTGGGGAAGAGGAGAGGGGAGAGGTGATGGCGGGGGTGGGGAGAGGGTAGGGGTAAAGGAGGGGGGGGGTGGGGGTGGAGAGGAGAGGGCGGTCAGGAGAGGAGGGCAGTGTAATAGTGCATTCCATACTCTCCCTACTCACTATGTGAAAAAGTTTCACCTTTGCTCCTGAAAAGCACATTGAATCTATGCTTTTTTTTGTCTTTCATGAGTGGGAGCGCTTTCTCCCTTTTGATTCTATGCATTCTGCTCATAATTTTGAAAACTCTGTCAGATCAGTTCTTAGCCTGCTCTGTAAAGAGAACAGTCCCAGTTTCTTCAATCTATCCTCATAATTGAAGTTCCTGACTCCTAGACCATTTATGCAAATCACTTTGGAACTGCCTCTAATGTGTTCTCATCTATATTGTGGCACCCAGAATTAAACACAATGCTCCAGCTGAGATCTAACAAGTTCATCATCACTTCCTTGCTTTTATTCTGTGCCCCGTAAATGATTTTTTTTCTATTCATTTTGTGGGATGTAGGCATTGCTGGCTGGCCGGCCAGCCAGCATTTCTTGCCCATGCCTAGTTGCCCTTGAGAAGGTGGTGGTGAGCTGCCATCTTGAACTGCTGCATTCCTCCTGCTGTGGGTTGACCCACAATGCTATTAGGGAGGGAATTCCAGGATTTTGACCCAGCGACAGTGAAGGAATGGCGATATATTTCCAAATCAGGATGGTGAGTGACTTGGAGGGGAACTTGGAGGTGGTGATGTTCCCATATATCTGCTGCCCTTGTCATTCTAGATGGAAGTGTTGGGTTTGGAAGGTGCTGTCTGAAGATCTTTGGTGAATTTCTGCAGTGCATTTTATAGATAGTACACACTGCTGCTACTGAGCGTCGGTGGTGGAGGGAGTGAATGCTTGTGGATGTAGTGCCAATCAAGCGGGCTGTTTTGTCCTGGATGGTGTCAAGCTTCTTGAGTGTCGTTGGGGCTACGCTCATCCAGGCAAGTGGGGAGTATTCCATCACACTCTTGGCTTGTGCCTTGTAGATGGTGGACAGGCTTTGAGGAGTCAGGAGATGAGTTACTCGCCGCAGTACTCCCAGCTTCTGGCCTTCTGTTGTAGCCACTCTGTTAATGTGGTGAGTCCAGTTGAGTTTCTGGTCGATGGTAACCCCCAGGATGTTGATAGTGGGGGATTCAGTGATGGTAACACCATTGACTGTCAGGGGTGGTGGTTAAATTGTCTCTTATTGGTGATGGTCATAGCCTGGCATTTGTGTGGCGCAAATGTCACTTGTCACTTGTCACTTGCCACTTGCCAGCCCAAGCCTGGATATTGTCCAGATCTTGTTGCATGTGAACATGGACTGCTTCAGTATTTGAGGAGTCAGGAATGGTGCTGAGCATTGTGCAATCATCGGCGAACATCCCCACCTCTGACCTAATGATGGAGGGAAGGTCATTGCTGAAGCAGCTGAAGATAGTTGAGCCTAGGACACTACCCTGAGGATCTCCTGCAGAGATGTCTTGGAGCTGAGATGATTGACCTCTTACAACCACGACCATCTTCCTATGTGTCAAATATGACTGCAATCACTGGAGAGTTTTCCCCCGATACCCATTGAATCCAGTTTTGCTAGAGCTCCTTGATGCCACACTCGGTCGAATGCAGCCTTGATACCAAGGCCTGTCACTCTCACCTCACCTCTGGAATTCAGCTCTTTTGTCCATGTTTGAACCAAGCTGTAATGAGGTCAGGAGCTGAGTGGCCCTAGCGGAACCCAGACTGGGTATCACTGAGCAGGTGCTGCTTGATAGCACTGTTGGTGACACCTTTCATCACTTTACCGATGATTGAGAGGAGACTGATTGGGGCGGTAATTGGCCGGGTTGGATTTGTTCTGCTTTTTATGTACAGGACATACTTGGGCAATTTTTCGCATTGTCGGGTAGATAACAGTGTTGTAACTGTACTGGAACAGCTTGGCTAAGGGAGCAGCAAGTTCTGGAGCACAAGTCTTCAGTACTATTGCCTGAATGTTGTCAGGGCTGGTAGCCTTTGCAGTATCCAGTGTCTCCAACCATTTCTTGATATCATGTGGAGTGAATCGAATTGGCTGAAGACTGGTATCTGTAATGCTGGGGACCATTGGAGGAGGCCGAGATGGATCATCCACTTGGCACTTCTGGCTGAAGATTGCTGCGAATGCTTCAGCCTTATCTTTTGCACTGATGTCCTGGGCTCTTCCATCATTGAGGATGGGATGTTTGTGGAGCCTCCTCCTCCAGTGAGTTGTTTAATTGTCCACCACCATTCATGACTGGATTTGGCAGGACTGCAGAGCTTAGATCTGATCTGTTGGTTGTGGGATCACTTAGCTCTGTCTATCACTTGCTGCTTTCGCTGTTCAGCGTGCAAGTAGTCCTGTTTGGTGGCTTCACCGGGTTGATACCTTATCTTCAGGTATGCCTGGTGCTGCTCCTGATGTGCCCCCCTGCACTCTCCATTGAACCAGGATTGATCCCCTGGCTTGATGGTAATGGTTGAGTGGGGGATATGCCGGGCCATGAGGTTACGGATTGTGTTGGAGTACAATTCTATTGCTCTTTATGGCCCACAGCGTCTCATGGATGCCCAGACTCGAGTTGCTAAATCTGTGCGAAGCCTGTCCTATTTAGCATGGTGATAGTGCCACACAACACAAGAAGGTTGTTCTCAATGTGAAGGCGGACTTTGTCTCCACAAGGACTGTGCGATGGTCACTCTTACCGATACTGTCACGGACAGATGCAACTGCAGCTGGCAGATTAGTGAGGATGAAGTCAAGTATGTTTTTCCTTCCTGTTGGTTCCCTCACCACCTTCCGCAGACCCAGTCTAGCAGCTATGTCCTTTAGGACCTGACCAGCTCGATCAGTAGTACTGCTGCCGAGCCACTCTTGGTGGTGAATATTGAAATACCCCAACCAGAGTACATTTTGTGTCTTCACCATCCTCAGTGCTTCCTCTAAGTGTTGTTCAACATTGAGGAGTACTGATTCATCAGCTGAGGGAGGACGGTATGTGGTAATCAGTGGGAGGTTTCTTTGCCCATGTTTAACTTGAAGCCATGAGACTTCATGGGGTCCGGAGTCGATGTTGAGGAGTCCTAGAGCAACACCCTCCTGACTATGTACCACTGTGCCACCCCCTCTGCTGGGTCTGTCCTGCCGGTGAGACAGGACTTATCCAGGGATGGTGATGGCAGTGTCTGGGACATTGTCTGTAAGGTATGGTTCTGTGAGTAAGACTGTTGCTTGACTAGTCTGTGAGACAGCTCTCCCAATTTTGGCACTAACCCCCAGATGTTAGTGAGGAGGACTTTACATGGTCGACAGGGCTGTTTCTGCCGTTGTCTTTTCCAGTGTCTATGTTGATGCCAGGTGATCCGTCCAGTTTCATTTCTTTGAGTCTTTGTAGCGATTGGTCCAACTGAGTGGCTTGCTAGGCTATTACAGAGGGCAGTTGAGAGTCAACCACATTGCTCTGGGTCTGGAGTCACATGTAGGCCAGACCAAGTAAGAGTGGCAGATTTCCTCCCCTGAACAGCATAAGTGAACCAGATGGGTTTTTCCGACAATCAGCAATGATTTCACGGTGATCAGTAGATTCTTAATTCCAGACTCTCTCTTTTTGAATTCCAACTCCACTATCTGCCATGGTGGGATTCGAACCCGGGTTCCCAGAACATCAGCTGGGTTTCTGGATTAATAGTCTAGCAATTATACCACTAGGCCATCGCCTACCCTATAACATTGCCTACCCACAGCTGAACATCTCCGAATATGAGTTTCTGGTCGGGGCTGTTAATCTGGTCCAATCAAGGAACCCTGGCTGACGAAAAAGTTGAGTTTCAATGACACTGGCTGTCTGGTACCTGACTCTTTATGAGGCAGTAATATAGTCAAGGATTGTTCATGTGTGGATAAAGAGTGACTCGGTAACAGGATAGAGGCTACTGTAGAGTTATTCAGTGGCGATGAGAGTAAAGTACAATCTCAAAGAAAGTTGCTCGCAATAGTTATCTTTGAATTGGGGCAAGCATTTTCTTACGCCATGCCTTGGTTTAGGAAGCTTGACTCGTTTGACCCTGCTGTCGAGGACTGGGCTCAGTATGTGGAAAAAATGCATTGTTTTTAATGGGAAAATGGCATTGTGGCAGACAGGAATCAATGAATAATTCTCCTGACAGCTTATGGAGTTGCAGCCTTTTTGGAGCCTAGCTTTCCCTGAAGTGTCAGAACCAATCAAGATAAACATTACGTTAAACATTCATCCAGCTCTAATGGAAGTCGATTCTGGTGTGGCTTTATCAGTGATCGCAGAACCAGTTTTTAATAAAATTCTTTAATAGAAAGGTCTCCAGCCCTTATATTCGCGCAAGACCTCAGCTAGGCTGAAACCTATACCAAGGACTTTTTACAAATTAAGGGTACAGCTTCGGTTTTGGTCTCTTATGAAAAGCAGCTGGTTCATTTACCGGTAATTGTAGTAAAAGGTTTGGGCCCAAGCTTGATGGGGTGAAATTGGTTGCGAGAGATTCACCTAGATTGGCTCAACATTTTCAATTAGAGGGAAGTCCTAATTAAATATTTGGAAGTCTTCCAGGAAGGTCTAGGGACTGTCAGGGAGACAAGGCCACTTTGCATGTTGACCAGGAAGCAATTCCATGATTCTGCAAGGCCCTCCAAGTTCCATTTGCCAAAAGTACAAGCAGAAATTAGAAGGCTGGAAAGTGAAGGAACCATTAAACCAGTCCAATTCACAGAATGTGCAGCGACAGTCGGACCGATTTTGAAGCCTGATGGGTCAATTTGCCTTTGTGGGGATTTTAAACACATGGTAAACCAGTTTTTGCAA